GGCCTACTTCTGGGAACCACGGGGATGTGCCAGTTTCCGCCTTTGAGTAACTTTCCATTGTATCTCCCACTGGTCCCCACTGGAGCTGTGCCCAGGGTGGTGCCACTGAGGCCCGGAAAGCATGTGGGCAGGTGCCCGTCCAGACTCAAGACTCTTCTCTTAGCACAGAGCCCTGTACTACTCAGGCATTTCTAGTCATCTCTATTTCCTCTTTCTAGATCTTTTGACCTCTTACCCTACCCCACCCCCAGATAAATTTTACGGCTGTTTTCTAGGTGTTGAAAAAAATAGGTCCTTGTTGTTCAGTCTCAGTCTTCCAGGTTCTGAGGCCTGCTCTGCCCATTTCTATTTTATTTATTTACTGGTGAAAATATGCCAAAGAAGCCATAAATGATTCAAGAAATCCACTTTGGGAGGCCAACCAAAGGAAGCGCTCCTAAATGCAGAAAAAGCCAAAGCACGAAGATGTTCATCTAAGAATTAGTTACAGAACAGAAGAGTGCAAAAGTGTGAACTGAAATGTCCAAGATCCAGGGCGGTGTAGGGGAGCTACGCGGCAGTCCTTGTGCTGCAGTTTTAAATAATTGCTATGAAGGTTCATGGAGAACATGGGCATCCTCATGATTGACATATAGGAAAGAGTGGAATACAGAATGGTATGGACAGCGTGATTCCAGGGATGTCACTAAAATATACAAATAGATCCATAGTAAGTCTAGAAATCTCTGAGGGCCAATAATTGCTGTGCTCAGATTGTGGTATAAATTTTCTGTAATGAGTTTACAGAGATCTTACAATCGAAAGATGCCTGTGACAAAAATATCACCCTTCAGAACGCAGAAGCCTAGCACGATGGCTCCCTCTCTTCTTAGATTTTCAGGCCCTGGGCAGTCCCTGAACGGCCCCTGCTGGGGCCTCCTACTCCCTCTGACTCACCTGGGGCTTATCTATTGATCTGTGGAGGTTCACAGAGGCTAAAGCCTTGGGGCAGGGCCTCTTCTGGGAACCAGACCCCCTTCCTGGGGTGGGGCGGCCAGCCTCTATCTTGGGGTGTTGGCTTTTAAAATGTGAGGAAACAATTAAATCAGGGCTTTACTGCTTTAAAGAGCAGGGAAGCTACCAGAAAGCTCATGAGGTCCATTTTCCACAACCTACCACTCAGGGTGGAGCTCATGAGGATGTCGTGCTGAGCCTCTTACGGTCACTCTGAGACATGTGGGTCACAAGGAAATACTATCAAGGCCAGGGGAATGGGGCGTCCCCTGAAGGGAACTTCCTGAGTGGAAAGTTAGCAGAGAACTGTTAATTTACAGGACAGACCAGTCACGGCAGGTAACCTTTCCCTGAAATAGTTCAGGCACCAATGCCAGTACCTGGAGTTCTAACAAGAGGAGGGAGGAGAAGGACGAGGGCTGGATGTGTAGTAAAATAGGCACCCAGACACAGGAATAGACAGCCAGCACATGCAACAGACAACGACGATGATGGCACTGTTGTGGCTGGGATCTGACTTCCCCCCGAGAGGCTCAAGTGTTGAAGGCATGGTCTCCAAAGCAGCAATGTTCTGAGGTTGGTCTTTTGGGAAGTGAGTGGATCACGAAGACTCTGACCTCATCGGTGGATTAGAGGAATCTATAGCTGAATAGACTATTGGGAGGTGGTGGAAACTGAAGGAAGTAGGGAGAGGTTGGAGGAAGTAGGTCACGGGAGATGTGCGCTGGAAAGTTATATCTTGTCTGCGGTCCCTTCCTCCCCACCCCTCAATCTCTCTCTCTCTATCTGCTTCCTGGCTGCCATGAGCTGAGCAATTATATTCTGCCTTGCCACAGGCCCAGAGACAACAGAGCCAGTGACCATGGACTGAAACCTCTGAAAGCATAAGCCAAATTAAATCTTCCCTTGAAGTTGTTTTTCTCAGGTATTTTGTCACAGCAATGGAAAGCTAACTAACACAAATATTTTCCACCTAGTGAGGAGAAAAGCACCAATACTGCAGCAACACAATTTTTTGCACAGCTGTGGACCCAGGAAAGGGGAAGGCCACCTTTCCCCGCCCAGCTCTAGGATGGAGAAGCTCAAGCTATCTTCTGTTCCTCCTAGAATGTTTGTTTTTCAGGACCCCTAAGAGGGATGATGATGAACGGACCCCCAGGGGAGGGGAGGTGGGGTAGAAGTGGCAGAGACCTATGTCCCAAATGGTACCCATGGCCCTGAAGCTGTCTACTGGGCTAACTAGTCCTTTGCAAACTTGCTTTCTGTTTTCTTTGCCTTTGCCCAGGATTCTGCATTTTAAAGAAAAGCTGCACCTAAATTGATTAAAATACTAACTGCTAGAGTCAACTATTTCAAGAAAAAGGACTCTTAGATCTACAGAACCTGGAACATCTGGTGACCTTCAGATAACATCAGAATGTGCATCAAATGAATAGATCACTGTAGGATTAATGATCACTCTACCACCCACTCATCTGTGGCTAAAAATACTTTCCCTTAATTTCCCATATAAGCTCTTCAGTTGTGGTTGTTAGTCAGGACGGTTCTTAGGATGATGGTCTGGCCTTTTTCTGATCAGCTGGCTCATGGTAGTACATGTTGTTCTCTACCATTTCCTTGCTTCTTGACTAATCGGCTTCTGTCCTGTGACAAGCACACTCCTTGCTCTTTCCCTGGGGACTCAGCCTAGCTGAAGGCTTCAGGTATCATTCCCAAATGAGACTCACAGGTCAATAACCCCAGCTCAAGGGGACACAGCCCACCATCTAGAGGAAACCCCCACCTGCATTTGGCACCACAGACTTATTGAGTACCCTATCTGCATCAGGATTGTTCCAGAGGCCAGGACCCAACTGTGAAGGGAACCAAAGTCTAGATCCCCAGAGATGACATTCTGCTGGTACCTCAAGGGCAGCTCTGACCTATTATGTACTGAAGGATAATTTTGGGAAGCCAGGTCCTGTTTCAGATGCGTTACATTTATAAGCTTATTTCATCTTAACAATACTCTGTTTTCTAGGGCTATTGCTCTCCTTGTTTTCAGGAAGGAAAGTTGCTAAGAGGCTAAGTGATGTGGCTGATGTCGTCACACAGCTGGAGAGCATGGAGCTGGTGTTGGATCCGAGCAGCTTGATTCTAAATGACACACCCCACCTGAGATGCCTACATTGCTGCTTACAAAAACCTGATGTCCCTCTTACATCATCTCCTATATGTCCAATGACATGTGGGAGGAGCCCTAGAGTCACGGTTATTACCTTTCTCTCTGCTGCAGTTGAGATTTTGATAGTGCCCCAAAGGCCCAAGGATTAGAGAATTGGATTCCAGGCTGGTACTTATTGGAGGGTGGTGGAATCTTTAAGAGGCAGGGCCTTCGGGTTCAATCTCCAGCATCCCCTCCCCACCAAAAAAAGAGATGGGGCCTATTGGCAGGTCTCCAGTTCACTGGAGACATGCCCTTGAGGGAACTGTGGGGGCTCTCATCTCTTCCTCTTTCTCTGCTTTACTTCCCAGCCCATGAAGTAAGCAGTTTTGCTTTGATACACACTCCACCATGATGCGTTGTCTCTCCACAGGCCAAAAGCAACAGGGCAAATTGACCATGGATCAAAATCTCTAAAACTGTGAGTCAAAATAGACCTTTCCTCTTTTTAAGTTGATAATCTCAGGTATTTTGTTATGGTAACACAAAGCTGACTAACACATCTTTCCTTCCTTATTTCCTTCCTATTACCAAGCCTAGCTAATTTAGCCACTTCATTTTTTTCTTCCAGAGACAGACACATATGTGGGTTTGGTCACCACCATGTCCCAGTGAAGCCAGCCCTTGTCCCAGAGATGCAGAGTGCTGGCCCCCAGCAGGCTGGAACATAGGCAGCAGGTGGCACATGGAGCCTCTTATGCTGGGTGTAGGCCGAGGCACAGTCAACCAGGGTGGAGGCAAGCCAGGGTATGCTACTCTGCTACCCTGTGGTGGGCCAGACCTGGCCTGATGTGGACACCCGCTCTATATAGTGCAGCAGCCCAGAACCCACACATCCACCATCTGATGTCCTCAGCCTCCTGCTTACCTATCATCATGAAGAAAATGAAGTGGGGCAGGCCTGAATGGGAGTTCAGACTCAAGGATTAAATAATAGCAAGTACTTTCCCAAACCCTGATTAGCATAAACTCGGACCAATAGCATTGACCCAGTTGCCACACAAACTCCTAGACTAGTACAACCTTGGGGTCCCTTCTTGCCCTTGCAAGAGTTCTGTTACTGTTCTTCACATTTGAATAAATCCTATTCTTTCACTCTTGCCTTCCATATTTCATTCTTGAACCCAGAAAGAAGTTGGTGGTGAGTTGCTAGGGTCTGTTGCAACACTGGAAGGCATACTCCACCATTTAGAACTGCAACACTGAGCCTCAAAATAAACCATTTGATAGTAGGGGAGAAGAATCTGCCTTTGCTGGCTGGCTGGGACCCTCAGAGTTGACGCTGGTGGGCATCCCCTGCTGTGATTAGCTAATAACACTGAAACTCAGCTGCAGAGGCTTGCAGTTTGCACAGGCCCCACCCAACAACAGAAGTGGAGAGTTGAATTTAGTCTCAAACTCTGGTTTCACCAGTCTCGGACACATGGAATGACCACACCAGTTGAGTGACTTAGTAAACCCCACATATATGCTTGTTGTGGAGGAATGATTTTCCCCAATATTAAGTGCAGGACTTCAGTCTGGACAGAGAATGAGCATCTTGGGCAAATCATAACTGAGATGGAATCATTTACCAGGTTTGTAGGTCAGTGTTAAACCAGATGATCTAACCCTAATCCCTTCTGCCATTGCATGATGCAGCATGAAATCCCTTACCAGATGTTGGCCCCTTGATCTTTAACTTTCTAGCCTGTGGATCTTTAAGAAATAAATTTCTGTTCATTATAAATTACCCAGTCTATAGTATTTTGCTATAGCTGCACAAAACAGACTAAGATACATTCCTGTGGTAAGATTAGGTGTAAGTGTTTAATCATCATTATAATCTGTGTGTTATTTAAAGAGGTTAAAACATTGATGGCAATCTAACATATAAGAAAACCTAGTACATTAGACTTGAATTTAATTTGAAACATTTAAGAGGATATGATTAAGTTTATGGATAGTCTGAGACTGTATTACTGGGGTACAGTCTAACCCTATGGCTCAAAGATGATAAAAGTTTTGTTCTGTTTTTCTTATGTTACAGTCTAGTAATGAGTGGTCAGAACTGAAGGCCAAGCAACATTTCTCCTTAAGGTCTTCTAAAGAATTGGCTCCTTTTCTCCTTTGGCTCTCTGTGGGCTCTGTGGGCTTGGGGGCCATCAATGTGGTTCATGGTGGCTCACCACCACATCTAAGGGAAGTGAGAAAGAACAGTGTCTGTGACAATTACCTTGAAGGAAATGACCTGGTTGTAGCTTTCTTCATATCTGCCCAAGTTCCATTAACCAAGACTTGGTCACATGATCATACCCCACTGCAAAAGAAACTGGTAAATGTAATCTGTTGTTGGATGGACAAACCAAATGAAAACCTAGGGGTTTTATGTAAAAGAAAAAAAAAGAGGGAGAATTCACATGAGAAACAGTTGGCAATTATCTGTCATGAATCTTAAGAAAACTTCACTCACTAGATTTATTAAATTTCAATAATTGCTTAAAGACCTAGAAAGATCTCACTTGTCAGGCTAAGTTTGCAATGTCAGGTGTTTGAAGTGTTTTAGAGAATCAGATATATTTTAAATTTAAATGTACTCAAAATGTTTTAAGAAATTGAGTAATAAGTTTATAAATAATACTATTTTGGGCTGGGGCTGTACCTCAGTGGCAGAGCGCTTGCCTAGCTCATGTGGGGGCACTGGGTTCAATCCTTAGCACCATAAAAATATAAACAAACAAAATAAAGGCATGCTGTTCATCTACACCCCAAATAAATAAATAAATAAGGCTATTTAGAAGGATTTATCCTATCAAACTTAAGAGTCATTTTAACATTGATTAAAGAAAAATGAAAATGACTAAACTTCTTTTCATATAAAAATTACTAGATATCAAAATTATAAGACTTCTACATTAAACAAAAAGACTCAGAAGAACTTAGGATTTGAATATTATGACTTTAAAACTTGAATATTAGTCAAGACAGGTAACTATAAGGCGTTCTCTGCAAATAATGTTAACAGCCTAAACTTATAAATCAAAAGACATAGAATGGCAAAATGGATTAAAAAGCAAGACCCAACAATATGCTGTCTTCAAGAGACTCACCTCATGAGCAAAGACATCCGCAGGCTGAAGGTGAAAGATTTGGAAAAACATATCACTCATATATGGATTGTATAAGCAAGCAGGGGTTTCCATCCTCATTTCAGAAAAGTAGACTTCAAGCTAAAGTTAATCAAAAGAGACAAAGAAGGACATTTCATACTTCTTTAGGTAAGTATACATCAGCAAGACATAACAATTGTAAATATTTATGCCCCAAACAATGGAGCATCTATGTATACATTAAACAAACCCTTCTCAATTTCAAGAATCAAATAGACCACAGCACAATGATACTGGGTGACTTTAATACACCTCTCTCACTACTGGACAGATCTTCTAAACAAAAACTAAATAAAGAAACAATAAAATTAAATAACGCAATCAATAACTTAGACTTAACAGACATATATAGAATATATCATCCATCAATGAGCGAATATATTTTCTTCTCAGTAGCACATGACTCCTTCTCTAAAATAGACTATATTTTATGCCACAAAGCAACTCTTAGTAAACACATACACACACACAAAAAGGCCCAGAGATAATACCCTTCATTCTATCAGATCACAATGGGATGAAATTAGAAATCAGTGATAAAATAAAAAACAGAAACTACTCTAACAAATGGAGACTAAATAATACACTATTGAATGATGAATGGATAGTAGAAGAAATCAAGAATGAAATAAAAAAATTCTTAGAGGTAAATGAGAACACTGATACAACATATCAAAATCTCTGGGACACTATGAAGGCAGTAGTAAGAGGAAAGTTTTATAACACACACACACACACACACACACACACACATAGTATTTTTAGATGTATATGAACACAATACCTTTATTTTATTTGCTTTTTATTTTTATGTCGTGCTGAGGCTCATGCATGATAGGCAAGCACTCTACCACTGAGCCACAACCCCAATTGTGGAAAGTTTATTGCATTGAGAGCATTCATTAAAAGAATAAAATATCAACAGATAAATGGCCTACATCTCTCAAAGCCCTAGAAAAAGAAGAACAAATTAATACCAAAAGTAGTAGAAGGTAGGAAACAATTAAAATCAGAGCTGAAATCAATAAAATCTAAACAAATGAAACAATTGAAAAAAATTGACAAAACAAAAAACTGGTTCTTTGAAAACATAAATTAAATAGATAAACCCCAAGCCATGCTAATGAAAAAAAAAAAAAAACAGAAAGAAAACTCAAATTACTAAAATATAAGATAAAGAAGGAAATATCACAATGGACATGTCTGAAATATAGAAGATAATTAGAAACTATTTTGAAAATTTATACTCTGATAAAATAGAAAATATTGAAGACATTGACAAATTTCTAGAGACATATGACCTACCCAAATTGAATGAGGAAATCAAACATGATTTAAATAGATCAATTTCGAGTAATGAAATAGAAAATACCATCAAAAGCCTACCAACCAAGAAAAACCCAGGACCAGATGGATTCTCAGTCAAGTTCACAAGACTTTCAAAGAAGAATTGACACCTATACTCCTCCGTATTCCATGAAATAGAAAAGGAAGGATCCCTTTCAAACTCATTCTATGAATCTAATATCACCCTGATACCAAAACCAGACAAAGACACATCAAGAAAAGAAAACTTCAGACCAATATCCCTGATGAACATAGGTGCAAAAATTCTCAATAAAATTCTGGCAAGTTGCATACAAAAACATTTTAAAAAGATACTGCATCATGATCAAGTGGGGTTCATCCCAGGGATGCAGGATTGGTTCAACATATGGAAATCAATAAACATAATTCATCATATTAATAGACTTAAAAACAAGAATCATATGATCATCTCAATAGATGCAAAATATGTGTAATATAAATTGTAATGCATATGTGAAATATGAATTGTAATGCATTCTGCTCTCATATATAACAAATTAGAATAAAAAATAAATTAAAAAAAAGGATTTGACAAAATATGGCACAACTTCATGTTCAAAACACCAGAAAAAACTAAGGATAGTAGGAACATACCTCAGCATTGTAAAAGCTACATAAGCTTATTTGCCCCTCCCCCCCACAAGGCCAGCATCATTCTAAGAGAGAAAAATTGAAAGCATTCCCTCTAAAAATGGGAACAAGACAAAGATGTCCTCTTTTACCACTTCTATTCAACTCTAGCCAGAGCAATTAGACAGACAAAATAAATTAAAGGGACACAAATAGGTAAAGAAGAACTCAAACTATCACTATTTGCTGATGACATGATTCTATATCTAGAAGATCCAAAAAATTCCACCAGAAAACTTCTGGAACTAATAAATGAATTCAGCAAAGTAGCAGGATATTAAATCAATACCCATAAATCAAACACATTCCTACACATCAGTGATGAGTCCACTGAAAGAGAAATTAGGAGAAGTACCCCATTCACAATAGCCTTAAAAAAAACAAAAAAAAAAACAAAAACCCTGGCAATCAATCTAACAAAAGAGGTGAAAGAACTCTATAATGAAAACTACAGAACACTAAAGAAAGAAATTGAAGAAAACCTCAGAAAATGGAAAGATCTCCCATGCTTCTGGATAGGCAGAATTAATGGCCATATTAACAAAAATATACAGATTTAATGCAATTCATATTAAAATCCCAATGACATTCTCCATAGAAATAGAAAAAGCAATCATTAAATTTATTTGGAAAAATAAGAGACCCAGAATAGCCAAAGCAATCCTTAGCAAGAAAAGGGAAATAGGAGGCATCACAATACCAGACCTTAAACTGTACTACAGAGCCATAGTAACAAAAATGGCAAGGTATTGGCACCAAAATAGACATGTAGACCAAAGGTACAGAATAGAAGACACCCAGACAAACTCACACCAATACAGTTATCTCATGCTAGACGAAGGTGCCAAAAACATTCACTAGAGAAAAGATAGCCTATTCAACAAATGGTGCTGGCAAAACTGGAAATCCATATGTAGCAAAATGAAATTAAACCTCTATCTCTCACTTTGCACAAAAATCAACTCAAAGTGAATCAAAGACTTAGGCACTAGACTAGAAACTCTGTGTCTAATAGAAGAAAAAGTAGGCCCAAATCTTTACCATATTGGCCTACAGTCTGACTTCCTTAACAAGACCCCTAAAGTACAAGAAATAAAATCAGGACTCTTTGTTGTTATTGTTCTTATTTTGGTTTAATTGACTTAAATTCCAGAGGTGGGTATAATTGTCATCCCTTATCCATGAATTATCAGACAATGACTTTCCTCACAGAACAATAACAATGTGAATGATTTATATTTTTAGAATTTTTGAAGTATAATTGGAACATAATAAACTGTACATATTTAAAGTAAAAAAATTTACTTTAAATATGTAATTTTGGTAAGTTTAGACATACATGTATATCCATGAAACCATTGTCCCAATCAAAATAATAAATATATCCATCACATCCCAAAAGTTTCCTTGTGTGCTATATAATATCTCTGCTTCATTCCCATACTTTGTTTCATGTTGCTACAAGTTTACATTTTCTAGAATTATAAATAATAGAATAATTCAATATGTGTTTCTTTTTATCTGTCCCCCCACCCTTAGCTCTATTGAGAGGCATCCATGTTGTTGAATATATCAATGGTTGGACCCCTTTAATTGCTGAGCACTAGTCTGTTGTTTGGGCATGTCATATTCACCCACTGATAGTCCTTTGAGTCATTTATGGTTTTTGACTACTACAACTAAAGCTGTTATGAACATGTGTGTGCAGTTCTTTGTATGGGCACATGCATTTATTTACCTTTTGTACATATCTCAGAGTAGAATGACTAGCTCATATGGCATATTCCAGTATAACATTTTAAGAAATTGCTAAAATTATCATATCATTTTATGTTTCCAACAGCAGTATGTGATTGTTTCAGTTACTATCTTTCTTGCACTTGGTCTTTTGATTCACTTCAATTGCAACCATCCTAATAAGCATTTAGTAATATCTCATTATAGTTGTAATTTGCATGTTCTTAAAACTAATGATACTGAACATCTTTTCATGTGTTTATATACCATCTATAGATGGCTTACTTGCCATCTTCTTTAACGATGTGTCTATTGAGAATTTGGTTTTTTGCCCACTTTGCAAACTGGATTATTTTCCTATTGTTGAGTTTTGAGTTTCCCTATGTATTCTGGGTATAATAATCCTCAGATCAGTCCTGTGTGTGATAGAAATGAACCTGGTTTCATACCTCCATCATGCTCAGTCATTGACTGGGAGAAATCTGAGGGACAAATGGTCTTAGTTATAATGGAGCAGTGAGTCCAGAGGGAAAACAGTTGGGGATCTGAGCAGCTTCCCTTCACATCTGTTATGTATATGCAACAAGGTGTGATTAGCGTGACATGGAGTAAGCACAGATGCTAACAGATTACAGATGGAGGATACCTGAAACAGTCTTTTCAGCATTTGGATAGGCTTTCTGATAACCAATTTATATTTTTAAAGTTTTTGAAATACAATTGGTACTTCAAATTTGATTTGAACAATTGTAAAAATTGAGACTTGGAGTTAGCAACATCATATACAAACTAGTACCACCACTTTGGAAACCTATTTGGGATTATCTAGAAAAGCTGAATGAATTTTTTGCATACCATGGGAGGTAGCATTCCATTTCTGGGCCCAGGCCTTTAGAGGAAGTTTTGCATCTGTACATATAGACTTGAGTCTACATGTACAAGGATATTCCCAGCTTTGTTATTTGTAATGGATAACCCCAGAACAAACAACACAGTAGAATGGATAAATAGTGGTTTAGTTTTACAAAAGAATAGTATCAACAATGAAAATATATAGGTTGAATCTCACAAATACAATATTGGAGAGAAAAGCAAAGCACACAATGTTCAAACAACAAGCTGTTGCTTAGGAATGCATATATAAATGATAAAAGCAAAGAAAAAAAGTAGGGGAAAGGTTGTGATTCTACAGAAGCATGGAAGAGAATTCAGGAATTTTTACAAAATAGTTATTCTTTAAACTCTCTATGTTTAAGTCCATATTTGTATGACATGGATCATAATAATAAAAGGGAAAAACTAGGAGTAGGCTAGGTGAAGAGGAAGGTGTGTGCTCTAGGAAGAGGACAAAGGTCAGAGGGAAAATGCATAAAGAACTCTGGATGTGTGGGATGGAATGGCATGGTGAGGAGTGGCCAGATAGATGGCAGCAGGCAGGGGGCTCCTACAGAACGAAGGGCCTTATAAACCCCATGAAGTTTGGACTTCACCCTGAGGGCAATGGGGAATCCCTGAAGTATTTAAGCAGGGGAAAAACTGATTCACATTTGCATTTTCAGAAAGATCCTTTGCTCGAAGCATGGAGGCTGTGCCTCATGGTAACCAGGTGAGTGGGAGTGAAGTGGGAAACAGAAGGGATCTCGGTCTTAGAGTGTTGCTGCTGCATGTGGCACGTACCCAGGGTGCTGCCTGAATCCAGACAGACCTGTGGGCCCGCAGCTGGAGCCAACTTTAATAGTATTACTAACTGATTACTGCAGAAAGTTAACCCTCTGTGGGAATCATTTGATAATAACACTATATATCTCTAAAATAATTTGTTCCATTTGCAACAATATTATAGAGGAACTGCTGGTCAACATGGTTATTGAAAGTGTTCTTAGTGAAAAGTTGGGAGCTAAATTCCCAAGATACTTCCTGAATATTCTAAGGTCTCAGTGAACCTAGGCCAAAAGTTCAAGGTGATTTATTGTGGGAGGTATCATCTGATAGCTAGCTGCCAATTATCTTGTAATTTTAATTGTACCCAAGGGATTTGTTTTCCTTGCAGCATAGATAGCTGCTGCTGTTTTGCTGTTAGATTTATTTTTAAAAATATGAGCAACTTGAAATACATATGCTATATGCTATTGAAATATTATATACTGGCCTGATATATTCTTAACTACAAAATATTCCCTCAGACCTGCTTTTGAGGGGTTTTGCCTACTGTGAGACATCTTCTCCACTGCAAATGGTTATTAACTTCCTGAGTTTCTCTGTTGGAATTCCCTTTGACTCCTACACATTCTTACCTTTCTGTTGTCTTGTTCCTTAGTTAAAGGAAAGTCCAAAGAAGTTCAGAGCAGAAGCAGGATTGTTTTATCCAGGCAAACTTGACTCTGAGCCAATGTATACTGCAGAACTATTGGGTATAATTTGGTGCCTACAGGACTTGCTCCCCTTACTAAGTCTCTGTTAACGCTCTCTGATCATGAAGGCCTTCTCCCCTGTTGGACAACAGGGGAGGTCCTATCAGTCCCAGCAAGTCCCAGCACCAGGGGGTGGGATGATGCTCACACAGCAATGGACTTTGTGACAATTCTTGTACATTGACCTTCTTACCAGGAAGTGTTGACTGGTGGTTATGACACCCATCTATCAACATTCCTTGGGGACCATTTAGATGGCAGACCTAGTACAGGCGACAGGACTATCCCCCTTCTTGTCTTGGTTAAAGCCCTGAAAAGAGACTGTTTAAAGCAATAAAAGATATCACCCCAGTGCATCAAATTACAACCTTACTATGAAGATTTATTAAGATAAAACACCCGGAGAGTAAATGAATTGAATTGTAATATAAGAAAAGATAATTTACCTTTAGTCAAGAATTAGGAGCTGAGGAAGTGTGTGTGTGTGGCCTGAACCAAAAGTTGGTTCAGAACGTTCCTTGAGAAAAAAAACCTCAGCACCATGTTTGACACTTGTTCTGTGAGTCGTTCCTGAAACATGCAATCCGTCACCAAGTCCTTCAGATTCTGTCTCCCCAAACTCCCTCCTTCAACCCCCACCGGGCCCATCCCTCTGGCCTGCCTCAGCACCCGCTGAGCTTCTTTCTCATTCTGCATATAGAAGGCCCCCTTAGAATCTCTTCCCGGCCTGATCCCCTCTGTCCTTTCACCTCCAGCCTTAAAACCCCTTTGTGCCCAGCAGGCCAGGCCCAGGCGCACCTTTCTGGCTTCACCCCAGTGACATGCTCCACAGCTTATTTTGCCAGGTCCTCTCCAGCTCCTTTGTTCAGCTCCTGGCCCAGGAAGCTCCGCCTCCTGGAGACCCTGCAGATGTTGTTTTATTTGCTGGCAACCTTCTCAGGCCTTTGTTCCCTTTTAAAAAATCCAAAAGGCTTCCACGTGCATTCTTCTGTATTTAGCACTGGTGAAGAAAGAACATAAAGCTGTCTCATACCTCTAATATTATTGACGTTTAACATCAAGAACCCTTGTGGGCCCGTGACAAGCTGTTGGGGGACACTTCACAACACTATTGGAAGAAAAACCAACTCTTCAGCAAGTGGAGATGCAGGATGTATTTTGTCTTTTAAAGTCATAGAGTTAATACACACACACACAGTATCTCTTTCTTTAAAATGATGGTAAATGTGTGTCTCCCACAAACATAACCCCCCCCCCACACACACACACATTGTATGTGTATACAATGCAGGGAGAGGTAAGACATAAAGGAAAATTATATTGCAGAGATTTTTGGTTTTCCTTTTTTCTTAAAAGTGGAGCCTGAATTTGAATCCCTTTTCCCCCCACAAAAAAGCAAACTAAGTTGATCAAAGTTTAATAAATAATTTGGAAATTGGTGGATTAAAGCTTGAAGAGCTCCCCAAATGCCTGAACCATGTTCCACACAATATTTCATTCTGCAAGGAACAGGACCAATAGTACAGGCAATTTAAGTTAGGTAAAAATTAGTCTAGGTAGTACCTAGAGGCTTACTGAGAAGAAAAGATGAGTCAAAGGCAAGTAAATGGACATGGCTGAAAGGGTCTGGAGGTGGTTGAGGGGTGTGTAGCGGTTTAGGAGTGACCAGTGGGTTCACTGATAGAACAGTTGTAAACAAGTTTGAAATGCTGTGACTTAGTTTGGGCGATCGACTGAGAAACAGGTACACACTGAGCAGCCACGCAGAGAACCAGGGTTTTATGAGGTCCAGGTCCCAAGAGCAGTTAGCTATGGAACAATCTCAGGTCTCTGTGAAGGGAGATCCAGGAGGCCCTGAACTATGCCACAAATGGAGGCTCCCTTTTTATCAGGGGGAAGATTATGGGTAGATTATACGAAGACTATAGGTAGTGATTGTGACAGTTTAGAATCTGACTTGATTCTACTGTGGGATCACTTCTCCATTAGCTGAAAATACTCATATTCCTTCAGTCTCTGAGGGGTATATTTAGAGACAGGCTACATGAGCAGAATGTTTTCTGTCTTATCTCTTCCCAGTGATAATTTGAACTCAATTTTCGAAATTCAGAAGGATGGCATTTCTCTGAGAATTAATCCAACAGCAATAGAAAAACTAACACCAGAGCACAGAGCGTAGGATAGGAAGAATAATTTGGTAAAAAAAAAAAGTTGTTTTTTTTTTTTTTAATTTCTTTTTTCCTCCTTGAGTTAAACAAGCCCAGGGTTCTATGTCTTAGAATAAATAATTTACCTTGTTTCCTTATCAGATTCCTTATCTACAGACAAGGAGATCCCTCATTTTATTCACTTTCTACTGCCCACCTACACTGTTTTAGTACACTGGGATCCTGGCAGAAAAGATCAACTGAGTGTTGTTCAGAGCCAAACTCCAATGCCCTTGAATAACAGGAAAGCAGGTTAGGTGCAGGTCCTGTCTTAAATCCTTGCTATTGGAATTCTTCCTTGCTTTGGAGAACAGTCACATGGAGGGGCAGGAAGGAATCAAGTAAAGGGACCAAAGATGTAAAGGAAAACCCCAAAAGCACAGTGCAGAGTCATAGGCAGTAAAGAAGAGACCACTGAGATTACAGAGGGGCCCCTGACAATGAGGCCTGAGGAACAGCTACTCAATGAGGGAATAGAAGACCACTGGTGATGGCGCAGGTGAACAGTTTGCAAAGGTGGGGAGGAGATGCAGTGGGGTCTGACACTCCTGGAGAAATGTGACTAGAAGAAAGAAGAATGATAAATTGAGAGGGTGACAGGATTAAGATAAGGCTTTTTTCCTCCTAGTGACAGGAGACCTATATAGCTTGAGGGCAGGAGCAAGAAGCCTGTGCCCAAGGAGAATATGGGTGCTGGGGGTGGGATCCTGCAATTACATAGGAAGGGGAAGATATAGTAGGGCCTCAATAAAAGACTGTTGATTGACTGATAGTTGCTTAGTTGTTGCTGGCTAGTAAACATTGAGATGCTGTGTGGTATTGGGGCTAACTGTGCAGGTCCAGAGTTCTGTACGATTTGGGGCAAGTTGCTGAGGTCTATTAAGTCTCACTTTCCTTTTGTGTAAAGTGAGAGAATTGATAATACTTATCTTTAAAAAAATTTTTTTTGGTAGTTGTATATGAAGAGCTTGCCTTTATTTTATTTGTTTATTTTTATGTGGTGCTAAGGATCCAACCCAGTGCCTCACACATGCTAGGCAAGTGCTCTGCCACTGAGATATAGCCCCAGCCCTGATAATACCTATCTTTGTGGTGAGAACTGAATGTTAATACATGCAAAGCATTTGAATGCTTCCAGGTGAATGCTGGTGAATGCTCAAAATGGTTAAAAAATAAATAGCTGTCTTTGAGAATTAAAGGTGGAAAACTCAAGTTCAAGTCTCATTATACAGCAATAGAATATAAGAAGGTAGAGGTGATTAAATTCACCCACGGCATAGTCTAAGGTTATCTTTTTTTTTTTTTTTTAAATAGGACTGGACTCCCAACTTCTATTCTTAATCTTCTTTCCTATTTGTCCTCAAAAGAACTTACTTGAAAATTAATCAATCAAAACTTCTGGTTAATCATATCTTAAACACTCATCATATTAAATGTTTTGGAAACTCTAAGAGGTAGAAGCATTATTTTATTATTACATTAGATACTGCAGTAATATTATATTCTACATATTGAGTACAGTTAAAAATTGTTTTGGTAAATTTAAGTTAGTTTTAGTTGTAAAATACTAAATTTGCAGCAGCGTTTCCCAAGATTTTAAGAAAAAAAAATTTTTTTAAATGAAGTCACTAGCATTTATTAACTAAAAAAAGCCACCAGTAACCATTTATTTAAAACAAACAAAGTTGAGAAGGAAAAAAATCAGTGTAGTTGCCCTGTTTCTCCCCTTAAGAAATAATGAGTCTGTGGGTGGTCAACAGCTTGGGAGAGTTTTGGGGGGTGCTGGCTCTGTGGTGATGTGTTATGCAATCAGGCTTATTTCCTTATACCACTTGTCAAGTTAGTGGGAGGGGTAGAGCAGCAGCCAGATACTCACTCACCCCTGGGCATTAGGAAAAAAAACAAAACAAAACTGTGGAGCTTCCAAGAGGAAATGCTCCAAGTTGAGTCAGTTCATGGTATTGCCTTGGCCTTTGGCTTGGTACATAAATGCTTGGTTCATATTTTCTCATTCCCAAATAAGTGGGTCATGTAATTAACAAAAGGAAGAAGAGGTGAAGCAGGGATTATCCTAGAATAATCTGTAACTCAATCCTGAGGGTCCAGAAATTCCTTGTTTCCTTCTGTTAAGTATGCTACTCCTTTAAACTAAAAGTGAAGGAAGTTGACATTAACTAGGTAATTTGAATCAATTACCCGTGCGGTTTCATTCAGAAGAACACGGGTTGTGAACAAGGACAGAAAATATTAAAACCCAGATGTCACAGAAAAGCTTGTGTTCAAGCATCCTCCTCATCTTTAGTGCAGAATGGAGGTAGATGTAAAATGGCAAGGACTCTGGGTAAGGTGACAAAAGTGCTCATGGAATTAATTCGCTGAATAACCCCAGCTCATCCATTTGTGTAGGGAAATGTAGTGTGGTGCCCAAGAGTATGGGCGCAGCCTTTAGTTAGTCTAGATCCAAATTTTGTTTCTACTGTTATGTGTATGACCTTGGATTGGTTACATTATCTCTGCATGCCTGTATTTCCAAACACCTAAAATGAGGTTAATAGTTCTTGCTTCATATGGCTGTTGTGAGAATTTTACGAGACACATGTAACAGCCTTAGCATGGTGCCTGATAAGAGTGGATTCTCAATAAATGTCTGCCAATTATCGTTTAAGCACTTTAAAGTTGACAAATATTTCCCTTACAAACCCTTTAAATGGGATCAGCAAGGGGGCAGACAAAGCCTTTACAAGGGACTCCATCTCTAAGTAGTGGAGCCTGAGAAAATGGCATTTCCCACCAGTGGTTGGAGGGGGAAGTGAGCCCTGTGTGCGCGTGTTCCTGGATGTCAGGAGAGCACAGGCTGTGACCCCTTGATCCCCCAATCTTCTCTTCCAGGACAAGCTCACCATCCCTGACGGTGGCTAACCTCGGCCTATCCTTTAAATGAAACTAAGCAAATATTCGAGGAATATTGGATAAAGTCAAAGTATTGGCCTTGCCCTGGCAACAACTCCTGCATCAGGCAGGCACACACAACAAATACCCGGGTAGCCCCTCGCTCTGTCTGCGTCAGGTACCCTTTTGCCGTTTAAGTGCATCAATTCACTCAGAGGCATCACATCCCACTTTCCGCAAAAAGGAGCCTGCACAAGGTCACGCAGCCGCCAAGAGATGGAGCTGGACCCGAAGCCGCGCACCGCAGCCCGTGGCCTGCGCCCCCTCGTCGGGGAGGAGGCCTTGGGTAGGCGCGCCAGGGCAGCGGGCTGCAGGCGGAGAACAAGTGGCAGGCCCGCGCACCCGAGCAAGAACGCTTCCGGCAGCCCGGCGCGCCGCCATGCGCTGGGGCAGCCTGGGTCCGGCTTGGACACCGCCTTCCGCGGGGAAGGTCCCACGCGCCGGGGAGTCGGGGCGAGGGGCGCGCGCAAGGACGAGGCCGCACCGCAGCGCACGCGCACAGCGAGCACACGCTCGCCCGCCGCCCAGGATGAGACGGAAGGCATGGAAAGTTCCAGCCCATTCGAGAGCCGTAGGTAGAAGGAGCGGTCTGCGGAGGCGGGGCCACGCAGGGGGAGGAGGCGAGGAGGTTTGCCGCTTCCGCGAACCGCTCTGGACCGCGCCCAAGGGGCCGTGCCCGCACAGCAGCCGCGAAGCCCCGGGGTCCCGGCCCGTGGGCGCCGCGCAGAGCGGGGCTGTGGGGGCGGCGGGCCGGCGGGAGGGGCGGGGTGCCGGCCTCGCGGGGGCGTGGCGCGCCGAGGGGGCGTGGCGCGCCGTCTGCGCAGCTGCCAGCGCCTTTAAGCCCGGGCTCGCGCGGCCGGAGCGTGCTTTCGCCGCCCGGGAGCCGTTCGGCCTAACCACCAGCACTTCCCTGCCAGGTTTCCCTTCAGGTCCCCGCCCCTCCGCGTCCCGGGACCCGGCTCGGTTCGGAGCCGCGCACCTAGTGTTCGGGCATGCCCCGCTACGAGCTGGCTTTGATCCTGAAAGCCATGCAGCGGGTGAGTGACCTTCCCTCAGAGCCCGTGTTCTCGCGTGGGGACCCCGCCGCCGCTAGGCCGCCGCCCCCCGCGTGCCGGGGTAGCGGGACTGCGGGCCTCCCAGCGTGGCCCCGGGGAGGCCGGGGAGGGAGGCGGAGGGGGCGCGCGCAGGCCCGCTCGGCCCGGCCGCGTGCACGCGGGAGGCGGGGGTGTGCCTGCGCGTGTGCGCGGCCGCGGAAGGGTCTGCTTCGCACTTGGCCGGCCGGCGCGGGGCGGGCGCCCCCTCGCCCGGCGCGCGGAGTCCAGTGGAAGGTCCGCGGGAGGACACGCGCGAGCGCCCGTCATGAAGCTGCTTGTCGCCGGTCCCGCGCCCACCCCGTCCCGCCTGCCGGCCGCCGCCGCCTGCAACGTCCGCGCTCAATAAAACGTTGTTCCAAAGCGTGTTTGTGCAGTTATCTACACCACTCGCTTGTAACCGCTCTCACGCTAAAAAATCTTTTGACTTCTCTTTTTCTGACTTCAGCGACAGTCCTGCTGCGGGTGCCCTTAGCCCAGTTTCATTCATCCAAGTGTGGCCTTGCTTGCGCCTTCCGAAGACACTTTTCTCCCCCCACTTCCCCGTTTTTGATTGATCTTGAGGGGGGGGCTTTCAGGTTTGGAGGGATAAGCGAACCAGCAGCCCGTTCACTTCAGGTGATGGCGTGGCCGAGGACAGGGGCCGGCGGCGGAGGCAGCTCTTCGTCCTCTGTTCTGGGTCAGGCACTCCAGTCGTCGCTGAAATCCCCATTCTTCCGAGAATTTGGTAACGTAGTGTGTGGTGTATGCACTCCCCTCTCCCCACCAGGTATAATAAAAAACAAGAAGCGTTGGTACTTCGTCTGAATTTTGGAAACATCTTTCTACAGCGGCAGGGATGTGGACACATTTTATGTTTGGATCGAGCTTTGGGTCATTTTCAAAGGGTAACTTACCGAGTTTAACTGAACCTGGGATCATCGTCTAGGCTGTATTGAAAAATTAATGATCACGGAGCGCGGAGAGGTTGTTAACGAGGTATGCTTGGTCGTCAGGGAAAGGACACCAGGGCCGCTTGATCAGGTCATGAGAGTCTGTTCAGGCGTGCCATTGTGTCCCCAGGCTTGGTCTCCCTGCACTTCGGAGAAGTTAAGATTGTATTGTTTAGCGTCTTGATATTCCTCTGCCTTGGCTCATTACCAGAATAAAGAGCTTTAAGAGGAACAATGAAAAAAAGAAAAAGACCAAATTATTAAAAAGAATATTTTTACTTAAGTGGAAATTGCTTGAGCCCTCCCTTTAACTGTGCTTTTTAGGCAGTGTTACTGCACCTGGGAAATGTGGTTGCTGAAATTCCTTCATTACTTTTCTTGTTTTAGGGAGGTAGCAGGTTAGGGTGTATTTGCTCATTTCATAAATCTTATTAAAATGAAGATTCTGTGTTGTTCTTTGGTTAACATGACTTCAAGTATGTTGGTTAAATGTATTTCCTTTACCATGCTGCTTGTTTTCTTTTTTGCTTTTTGCTTTTAACACCCAGTATTCACAATTTCCAGGTGTGGAGCATAGTTTTTATTCCAGTTAGATAAGCCAAACCTGGTGTAATTTGGTTAAAACAATGATTAAATGCCTTCCTTGAAATATTTGAAGGCAGGGGACAAAAACACTTAGAAAGTAGATAATTCAGAATGCCCTATAGGAGGAGGCATTAATGACAGTAGATAAAATGTTGTAACTATATTGAAGTTGTGTCCAGGGAATCTTTGACCTAAATAAACTAAGATTAAACAGTAACAAAAGTTTGTCACTTTTTTATTCAAAAAATTATTTTAGAGTTAGTTGTAAATGGGTAAAATAAAAACTTAAAAGGTTTTGCTTGTTTTCAATTTTAGCAATATTGGATTCTAACCATAGGGTGACTTCTTGGGGGAAAATAACAGTAGGCTTCTTTAATGTAAAATCCACTGTGAGCTTGCACACCTTTAGCAGGCTCTGGGGAAAACTCACCTCCAACCTGAGGCAGTTTGTGCTTCTGTTGCAGAAAGGCTATTGCAGATCCTTAATTCTCAGTTGTCATGTCTTCTCATGTTTTCAGATTCTGGGAAGTACACTTAACAGTGTGATCCTTTAATATGATGGTATTTTCCTTTGATCCTCCATATAATCCATTTATGTGTTTCAGAATTGAGGAAATATGTTAAACAACTTTTGTAGCAGATAGGGAAGACTATTTTTTTCCAGTCTTTTAGATTCCTAGAGCTGTTTTCCTGTTTCTTTTCTATGCCTGAAGAGCATTCTTGCTCTCTTTGGGGATGTTAGTCTCCCTCTCCACCCCTATTATTTTGTTCTATTTGACTTCTGGCTTCACTCCTTAAAATTGAGCTTAGAGTTTTAAAATAAAGATACTATGTTGAGATTCTTAAAATATCTCTACTGTAGGAAAAGCACTTGTGGGAGTTCCTGTAGAAAGATCCCATGGTGTAGTCCATAGAAAAAGTACTTTTTTATTACATGATTGTGTGTTAATCAGTCACTTAGAATTTGCAATGCCATCTTTTTTCTCAGTTTGCAGTTGGGAGTGGATATAATAATGAGTCTTTGCTTTTGTTATATTTCCAAGTTTGTGCATTTATATAAAAGTTTTCCCAAGAAATATATTTGCAGGTACTGTTGAGCTTGTATGTGTGTATTAAAAGTTGTAATTTCTATATTCTCCCTGCTTTTACTTTAGCAGAAAAAGTAGATGAAAGGGTAAATTCTGAAATATGACATAGTGAAGTAATATTGTAAAACCAGGCTTTGAAAGTAATGACCAACTTTGAAAAAGAAGTTGTTTAGAAACATATTTATAGAAGAGTCTTTAGAGTAATGATTTTTGGAAGTCTTGTTACCCCTACATTAAATAGCAGCAGAAGAGTTTTATTCACTTCTGGAAAAAGGTGTTATTCATAGGCTATAATATGGAAGGACATAGCTGCAAAGGAAAGACCAGGACTGCAGATTTCAGGCAGTCTCATCTCAATATGAGGAAGACCTTTTCTAACAACTGAAAAAGAAAAGGATTGTAAGATGGTGAGTGCTTTCTCTGCCTCTACCTTGTCTCCTTGAAATGTGAACTTCCAGGTGAATAGGAGAGAAAGGGCCATGTGGTTTGGTGGGTGAGTTCTGATTTCTCAGTCACTTCTGTTGAGTCTGGGGGAAAAGATTATTGTACTTTTGCACTTAATTAGATTTTAAAAATTGATGTTTAATTTCAGTTAGGTAAGAGTAAATTGCCCAAACATGAGTGATAAAATCACTTACTGTGGGGAAGCCCAAAAAAGCTATAGAAAACTTTAGAACTTTTTTACATCTGGGATGGGTGTAATGAGAGGAATCTTAAGGAGAAAAATCTTTGCAGTACATAAATATTCTTTCATTACTTAGTTTAGGAGCACTTTAATTATCATGTCTTATTCTGTTGGCTCAGAAGATGATCGCAGTTGTCACAGTTAGATTTGTGAAAGCCCTATGAAAATATTTTCCCTGAAATCATCTCATCATTCAGGAATTTTTATATGAGAATAGTTTAATAACTAGCTCAATTGCTAAATTAGTGCATGCAAGTACCATAAAATACTGTATATATAATCTTTTTATATGTTTCAAATAGTAATAAAGAAGTAGGTAGCTATTTTGGAGATGTTAAGGTTTTTCATTAAATAATATTTTTAGGTTCAATACTTGCCATTTAGTTTTAAGTTGATTGAGAAGATTGTTTTAAGATAACTCACCAAAAGTAGTTTGTAGAGTTTTATGATACAATCTGAATTTAAATTCCTAGTTTCTAAAATGAGGAAAGCAGTAGGTGTTTTAGTTGTCCTGTGAAGAGATTTTCTTGTTTTTTCTTCACTTAGGTCTTTTTTATTATTTATTTTTTATTAGAAAACCTCAACAAAATTTTGTATTTGTTCTAGAGTTGTTGTCCTACTTAGGATATTCTGGAATACCTATAAACCATTTGCATTCTAGATTTTTTTGAAGATATAGGGTGCTAATGAACTCTTGTGGGACTGGCCAACCCTGTATCATTGTAGCTTGGCTTGCTTGACAACATTCTCTAACTAGGAAATATTGTAATTTCTGCTGTTCTTGGGAGACTTGACTTAAATTCATATGGAAACATGTCATATAATCATTTTTCCCCTCTTGGGCCCTCTCTCAACAGCAGCTTAGCTTGTATTTTTAATAATTGCTTTGTCTGTTTGAAATGAGACAAGTTAAAATAGTTTTTCAGTAGTGAAAGGTGTGAACTTGGTGGGCAATGTTATGCTTTCATCTGGTATTAAAGTTTTCTTGGGTTACAGCCTATTGCCGCAGCAAGTGATTGAAGAAGGAGTCCTGTTCTGCCCCTGAGCTACAGCTAAGTTACAAGGAGTGGCTTGGGGGTAAGGAGTCCTTCCTCACCAGATATGGTTTGTATGTGTGAAGAATTCAGAAGTTGACAATTCTGCCCTAATTAAAAAAAAAAAAAAATATGACTTGCATATTCAATACTGATATTTATAGGTTTTTAAAGTCTACTTATGTCTAGTATTTTTATGCAGGCTGACATTGAATCGTTTTATTTATTTTTAAAATTATATAAATTACTTTAAATGTTTAAAAGCAATGAGGGCTAAATTCTAAAGGCTAAATTTTCATCTGGTACCATTACTATGTTCATAGTATAGGAATAGCTCATCTGAAAGAAATACCAAATACAGAAATTTGACTTAACATCACAATGGAAGGAAGGGTAGAGGGAGAATGGTATATTGTATGATTATTCATATGTATAAAAATCTGTTTGCCATTTATTTAATTATCTTTTGCTAGTTTACATTACTGGCTTTGTGTTAGAATTTGTTTCTAATATTCTCACAGGTTTTTATCTTTTCGAGATAAGGAGTACCTCCTTTCAGTACTTATTTTAAGAAGACAGAGGCAGTATTCATTTTTTTAAAAAAAATTTTTTAAGTTGTCAG